TTCACCATAGGCCTCACCACACCCTATGGTCTCCCACCTGGCCCACTTCCCTCATTTAGGTTACCTGCCAGGTCCCTTAGGCATTTGAATTTGAAACTCTTGCTTTTGAAAATAGCATAATTATAGTGCCATTATCTCTAGTAAAGATCAGGACACTACACTGTTCCAGCAACCTTGCCTGACCCTTCAGGCTGGGTTAGGCAAGCCACTCAGAAATTCCCTAGCAACCTATGTATGACTCTATTATATTGCTCTTCAGAGTTTGTTGACATTATTTTTCTGTATTAGAATGCTATTGATTCCAAGTGGAAGAAATTCAGCTCAATCCAGTTTTAATCAAATGGAGAAATGAATTGTTTCATGTGGCAGGGGTGGAGCTGGCCTCAGGGACACACTCCAGTCTCATCAGGATCCTCTCTTTCATGGGTCCTCTCTCATGTCGCCATTCTCTTGGATTGGTTGTCCCCAGGAAGCTGGAAGAAAGACTACAGGCACCTCTGGGTGTGTCTTCTTCTAGCCGCATGGCCACAAAGGAAAGAGAGCTCTACCACATCTCCCCTGGGGAAATTCTGGGATTGAACCCTGACTGTGACCAGAAAAGAGATGTACCAGCTTGGGCAGGGCATAGTGAGGTTTCAGCTCACATCAGAACCATGTGCTTGGAGTCAGCTGTAAAGAAGTGCCCCAAAGTAAGGCATACTGCTTTGGGCTGATAAAAAATTACATTTGCTAACTTGTCTTTACTTTCCACTAGTATCTCCAATCTTTAAGACTAGAACCCGTGTCTTTGATTTCTGTATCTAATACAGCACAGTGTCTGACACAAAAGACCTTTAAAAAGTATTTTTAAATGAATGTTGAATGAAGAATAAAGCTTAATTTGTCATAATCCTACACCTTGGGTTTTCTAGAGCAATCCCAATTTCATAAAATATTACTTTTCATTAGGATGATTCTTTAAATCCATAAGTAATTTTATGTTTAGTAAAGTGTTTTATAAAATTACATTTAGAAATTGTATTCATTATTTGGCACACTATTGGTTTTGGTTCAGAAAGTCTGGATCTTTTGTTGGTTATTTTTCTTTTTTACCTACAAATCCCTTTTAACACCTTCTCTAGACAGCTCTGTGCTGTTGGAGACTGACTCTTTGGGCTGCATCTCCCATAATACTTCCTGGTGGGCATCTGTTGGGCTTGGTTAATGGGAGCCATTGCAGGTCATTTATATCAGAGGGAAGGAGAAAGTGAGAGTGGAGTATTTCTTCCCCCTCTCGCCCTATTTCATGTCTCTCTTGCTGTGCCTACTTCCTTCATCACCACAGCTCTCAGGGGACAGCAGCTCCTCCACTCTGAACTTCAGTCACAGTGTTCATTCAGGCTTACAGACGGTGCCAGCTTTCTTCCATTGCTGCTTCTGCAAACCTCACCCTCAGAAGTAGCCCCTACAGTTAAGCCCCATCATGTGAAACAAGTGGGGTGGATGGGTGCTATTTCCCTCTTAGACCTTGACTGAACTATTAGCTTAACCCTAGCAGGTACAATTTGCCAATTAGAGCTGGGAGCCGGTCCATGCTTGCTGTTTCAAGGGACCTGGCATATATGGCATACTGTTCTTAATATGTTTGCTCACCTTCTTGGCACTATGTGTTTTAACCAAGGTCTCTGAGAAAGGTTGTTTTCCCAGGTAGGGATTTTCCCCTGAAGTTAGGGAGGGAATAAAACCTCTTAACTAAGTGCCAGGCGGGTAATTAATCACTTTAACTACGAACAATCATGCTTAAGCTACATAATCTTTACTCCCTGGAATGGAGATAAGAAACGCCCTAACCTTTGTAATAGAGATTGATAGGATTGAATCAACTGGTATAAATACAGATGTAACAAGACAGCAGAAGACAGAACTTAGAAGACAGGACTTAGAAGACAGAACCTACACACAGAACTTAGAAGACAGAACCTACACAGAACCTACAGACAGAAGAACTTCGCTGGAGAGAACATGGCAAAAGATCCTGGACTGAACCTGACTACAGAAATTGGCAAAAGAACATGACTAGAACCTGGTGACTGAACCTGGCTGGAGAACCTGGACAGAACCTGGCTGGAGAACCTAGCGAGGGAACATGGCTACAGAACCTGGCTGGAGAACCTGGAGAACCTAGCAAGAGAACATGGACACAGAACCTGGCTGGAGATCCTAAGCAGAACCTCTCTGGAGATCCAGACCAGAACTTGGCTGGAGATCCTGGCTGGAGATCCTGGCTAGGCTGCTGATCAACTGAACACTGTCTCCGTGTCCTTCCTTCTTCGCCGACTCCGTCTACGCCTTTGGGAACCCCTGGACCTGCTGGGGTTGGACCCCGGCAAATTAGGTCATTCCTCTAGGTCAGTGGGTCTTTCTCTCTGCACACTGAAATCACCTGGGGAACTTCAGGACAGACTGCTGCTGGTTTCCAGCCCTAGAATTTCTCATCTCATTGGTCCAGGAAGTGGCTTGGGCATCAGGATTTAGAATCTCTCCAAGCCCTTCTCAGGTGTAGCCAAGGCTGAGAAGCATTGCTCTGATTCATGCACCTCCTGTACAGAGAGACTTTTAGCATACAGTCACACCTCAACATAATGGACTAATTCGGGCGAATGCGTGTCTGTTAATGCTGAAAGTATGTTATATAGTAAAGTAGGTTTTCCAAATGTGTATGTTAAAAAAAGTTGATGTTAGCTTACCTGCTTTTACTTATGTAGACAAGTTTGTGTAATTAAAATTAAGTATGTATGAAGAGTTTAATTTCACAAAGTTTTCTATGTGTATCACTGTAATTTTAAATTTATACTGAATAGATCTAGCAAATGTGTGCATTCTCAAGTCACCATGTGTAAACTAAAGCACACAAACAAAGCTGGGGCATGGCTTAGCACACGTGGGAACATCAGCTGGCGTGCATTAAAACTGCTGTGGAAAGTCACACCATGCAACAACAGAACCAATTACCATGGGTGCTGTGGTGTGACCACGTGCTAATCATTTGCTGAATATTGTTTACAAGTGGTGACTCTTGGATTTAAATATGTAGACCAGTGGTTCTCAACCTTGGCTGCACATTAGAATCACCTGGGAATCTTTTTTAAATCCTGATTTCTGGGCCTCATCCTCTGGAAATTCTGTTTCTTTGTTATCGGGTGGAGCCACACGTTAGGAACAAAGAAACAGAATTTCCAGAGGATGAGGCCCAGAAATCAGGGTTTAAAAAAGATTCCCAGGTGATTCTAATGTGCAGCCAAGGTTGAGAACCACTGATGTAGACTATAGTTATAGATATGTAATATTTACTTATGTCGGTGAAATGACTACAGTGTTTTTTCCAACATATGACCTATTTGCTAAAATTTATTAAAAATAAGTGAATTAATAACAAAAAATAACCTGTTAATTTAATTATAAGCAAATGTTGGTTAAAAGCATTTTAAAATTAACAGGGCGTTAATTTTCACATATGACACACAGACCAGTAATTTTGTCCATTAAATCTGAAGTCCAAAGTCTGTTAAATCAAGGTTTGAAAAACTGAGGGTTTACTGTGTAATTAACAGTCAACCACACAGTTAACTCTTGAGCAATGTGGGTTTGGACTTTGTAGGTCAACTTATATGTGAATTTTTTCAATTGATCCTCACAGTTCAACTTAGTCAAGGGTCAGCTGGTGGTTGAGAGTCCACATATGCAGTGAACTGCCTTAAGTTCTATGCAAATTTTCACCTTTGTGGGCAGTTGGTGCCCCTAAACCCCCACATTGTTCAAGGATCAATTGTATATGATCCATTATGGTGTATTTATTTATTACAAATTATTGTCATCTTCAGTTAAAAGTAATGTTATTTTTCTACTCATTCGTGAAAGCATTTTTAAACAAAATAGAACAGGTTCAAACACTTATTCTTTTACTAGGGGCCCAGTGCATGAATTTGTGCACCTTGAAAGGAACTGTGGGCTGCAGACCCATCCTTCGTGCCCCTGCCTGTCCCCTCCCCCTGCAGCCACCCATTCCCCGTCCCATCTGCTGGCAGCCCCACTCCCACCAGCACCGCTCCCACACACTGAGGCATTGGCCCCGCTCGTACCCACTGATGGCGCAGAGTGATTGGGGCCAGCACCAGCAGTGGGTGCAAGCAGCGGCTGCTGGCCCTAGTTGCCCTCAAGAGCAGGGGGAGATGGAGAAGCCCTGAGGGGTGATCAGGGCCAGTAGCTGCCGCTTGCACCTGCTGATAGCACCAAGTGATTGGGGCTGGGGCTGGCACCGGGCACCGGTAGTGGGTGCAAGTGGCGGCTCTGGCACCAGCAGTGGATGCAAGTGGGGCCGGTGCTGGCAGCAGGTGCAAGCACCAGGCAGGACCACGGTGCACAGGAGCAAAGAATTTTCAGTAACCACCAGAGGTTCACCCTGATGACAACGACTGGTGTCCTGCCTTAGTCTGGTGCCCCCGCTCACCTGCTCCACCATCCCCTGCCATGTTCTGTGCTCTGCTGCTGACACCCGCCATGTTCCATGCATGCCCCTTAGTGGTTAGCACATGTCATGCTGACTGGTTGTTCGGTTGTTCAGTTGTTTAGCCATGCGGTCTATTTGCATATTAGGGTTTTATATATATAGATTGCAAGACTTGAAAGACAGAGACTCTGATATTAGTTATAATATAAAACCCAGACATAAGTTATTTCTAGGAATACACAGAGACAAAGTTACAAAGCAAGGTTGGAAATTAAGGCAAAGCAAACATATACTAAGCAAATACAAAGGGAAAAATATAAAGTCAGCATTAATATAAACTAAAATGTAACTCAAGGACAAAAGCATTAACAAGGTTAAAAAGGAAAAATGTAATGAGAAAAAGTTAATCAATGAACAAGTTGTGTATAAGTCATAAACATTAAGAGGTAAACAATATAGCAAAATCCCAGAAACATAAGCAGATATTGATGAAAAGATTTTTATTGTGGAATGTTTTTAATATTCTTTCAGAACTTGACAGTTCAAGTATATTATTAAAGAACAGATACAGAGGTTTGAAAAATACAATAAACTATACATTTTTTCTTTTCTTATATTTATGTAATACACAAATTACCTATGTACTTGACATAATAGAAAACTTTGCTAAATTTCCCAAAGCATGTTTTTGTACTTTCAAATACAAAATCAATATTAAAAATAGTTTTAATCCTGTAATTATTAGAAAATTAAGAAACCTCTTCCGCATAATTCAAAGAGGAAGTTTCAAAGAGGAAGTCTAAATTAAAATCACAGATTAAGTACCCAATAGAGAATAGGAAAACACTTTATTTTATTTTTTTTGTTAAGCTTCAACCAAGGATATTTTTAGAGAGAATGGAAGGGAGGAGGAGAGACAGAGAACATCAACGTGATAGAGACACACTCACATCGACTAGTTGCCTCACACAGGGGCCTCGCTGAGGATCAACCTGCAACCTAGGGCCCTTGACTGGAATGGAACCTCAACCCTTTAGTCTGAGGGCAGGCATTCTATCCACTGCCAAACAGGCTAAGGCTGAAAACACTTTATATTAAAACCTACTGGATACAGTTAAGAGCTTTGTTGGGATATGGGGTAGGGATTTATACCCTTAAAAGAAAACAAAATTACACAAAGTCACGAATATCATATTTGGAACAATTTGGATATTGTTTTTCCTTGATATTTATATAAAATGGCCCCATAGGCCCTTTCATTGATTTTCAGATTTTCTTCACTTGGACTGTTTTCCTTTTTCATTCATCCCTTTGTCAGTGTCATAGTAAGAGCGAATAAAGCGATCAAGAATTTTTCTGTCTGAAATTATGAAGAAAAATAGAATGAAAATTTCCATTTAACTATTTAAGTGCTAAATAGAGAAATTCTAGGAGAGAGGCAAATATCTTATAATAGTACTCTATGTACAAATTTGATGAAACCAAAGTAATCAAAGAATATTATGTCTAATGGCTAAAAAGGCACAGTTGTGTGATTATTGATTAAATAAAGCAAATAATATTCAAGGGATTAGCAAGTTTTTATGGAAAGAGCATGGGTTTGGGAATGAAATAGATGCAGGTTTCAGTTCTGCACTGGCAAGTATTAGCAAGTCATTTGACGTCCTTTTTTATTTTCTTATCTTTGAATTCAGGTAATAGTAGTTACCTTGCACAGGTGTGGGAATGGTTAGGAATGCTGTGTGTGAGGCACCTAGACAGTGCCTGGTCCATAAAGACATTCAATAAATACTATAGCTTTATCCTTTATCACTGGGTTCATAGTAGTACATAGTGATGGTAAATAACAGAGACCATTATTCCAAAAGTTCCATTGAGGCCAGGGCTGTTTTTCTTTCTACCAATGTTGGTAGGCTTTACTGTTCTTGAGTGTTAAATAACTATGGGAAGGACCTTCAATTCCTCTGTCTGGAAAACAAAGAATCTTGCCTGGCCTGAACATCTGTGGTTCCCTAATTCTAATTACATATTTTTAAATAGTACAAAGTAGAGCTGTAAAACTTTGCTCATGCCTAGCAATTGTCACCTGTGCAGCCCAAACCAGAATAACCAAAAAAAAGGAATAACGCAAATGACCACATGTTATCACGGTCGATGTTTCAAAGCCAGTGAGGTCTATAGATCAGATGTGTGTGTGTGTGTGTGTGAACTTGTTCCTGTTTTCTCTCCAATTAGGCTTGCATTTATTTGTTTTTGTGATCTCACATTTAATTTTGAACCACCCCTACCCTACCCAGATCTTTGGACCCCAGCATTTTTAAAATGGAATCTCACACTTTATGAAAATTTATACTTTATGAAAAGTGTAATGCACTAATCTTCCAGTGCAATTCAATGGCTTGACACCACATGTGTAACCCACACCCATATCATAGTGTAGATCATGTCCACTGCCCCCCAAAAAAACCATCATGCTTTTTCCCATTCAATACCTCCAACCCCAAGATAGTTAAGGTTCTAGGATCTCCTTCCTCATAGATTGGTTTTGCCTGTTATAGATGTTAGAATAAATTAATCATATAAAATATATTATTTGGTGTCTGGCTTCTTTTACTCAGCACACTGAGGTTCATACCTTGTTTTGAATATATCAATAATTCATTCTTTATTAGCTAGTACTACTTCATTATGTGAGTATATCACCATTTGTTGATGATGGAGATTCAGGTTGTATCCAGTTTGGGACTATTAAGAATACAGTGGTTCTAAACATGTTTGTACAAGTCTTTTTGTGGGCCTTGCTTTTTTTTGGAGGGGGGGAAGGGGGCGGTAAGTATGTAGAAGTGTAATTTCTGGGTCATAGAGAAGGTATATGTTGAACTTTATGAGAAACTTCCATATCTATTTCCAGAATAATTGTACTATTATACAACTACTAGCAATGTATTGCTCCATAGTGCCAATATTGGCTACTGTCAGTCCTAATTTTCAGCCTAAAATGTCTCTATTTTTCAATCTTATATGAAAGAGTTGATTTTAAGAGGAGCAAAAAGTAATCTTTGATACTAAAGATAAGCATATAAGATGAATCAAGTTTGGCATAAATTAATAAAAAGGATGAGATTGTGTCAAATTTAATGTCAATTTAAAACTGTTCAAAAGGCTGCCAGTTGTAATCCAAATGCTATCCGTATTTATTATGCATAGATGCAGATTTAGACCCCATGATTTTGTTTATGCTGTTTCATCTGCTTAGGAATGGCCCTGCTTCTCCTTGTCACCCAATTCATCCTTGTCACAAAAAGGAGGCCTCCTCTGAGCAGCCTTTCCTAACCACTGTTGGCCCAAAGGGTTGAGAGTACCCCTCACAGGCTTCTACTGGACCTACAGAGTATTTGATTGACAAGCCATGATAACTATGCATTGTCTCCCCCTAAGGAGGGGGGTTTGTTTTTTATGTATCTTTGTAACAAATGAGCATTATAGGTATTCGATTAATGATGCTGATTGAGTGAGTAAATAAATGCATTTTTAACAATACTGAACACACCCTAGGAAGAAAAACCCTTTGAATGGCCATATTCATAGGAGTTTTAATTGGAGGAACAGATGGGGAGGGGGGGAGAGTCTTAGCTTAAAATTCTGAAAAGCAGATTTCAGATAATTTTGTCTTTCAAGGGGGAGTGAGTGGGGAGATGACTGTCTTTACCAATATATAACAGAGGCCCAAGGGGTAAGCCGCTCAGGATGTTTGAATCACTTGAAGATTAAACCCATTTTGAAAACAGAATGGCCACGACAGACATCTAGTTCAATTTCCTCAAGTTGTAAATACAGAAACTCAATACCAAAGAGCTACATGCAGAGTTAGCAGGAACAAAAAGTTCACCATCAGGTGCCCCTCCTTCCTGCTTCTCAGGCTTTATTTTGTGTTTTCCTGGAGTTTTCTCAGTCCCGCTTCACCCCGCCACCTCCCCAGCCCCTGACTTAGGCCATTATACTGATCCTTCCCCTTCCTCTCTCTCGTTCAAATTAACCTGAATGGGCTCCTGTGCTAAGAGGTATAATCCCATAAAATAACTTAAGCTGTGGTGATAAATCAACCTAACATACCTGCCCAGTTTGCATTCTCTTGCATACCTAGTCAGCTCTGCCACAAATGAGCTCTGCTGAGATATTTGCCAGAAAAGTATTAGTGTCATCCCAGACAGTGGACATGACAAGAGGTTTTGGCTTCAGAATTCAAGGGAGCCTCCTACTTGCTTGTCAGCCTCTGGCACAGCTGGCATTGATGAGTAGGCCACTCTAAAGCAAAGCTAAGAAAGAAAAACTAGAATCCACTGGAAGCAAATCCTACATGACTCAAGTCAGTGCAAAGTGGCAAGGCTGCAGGGCCTGAGCATTGGGGTGCTTGCCCTCAGTGCTGTCCCAAGGGACCCAGGGAAGCGGGCCAGCTAAGAAGAAACCAATGCCCAGACTGGCCCCAATGCTTCCTTGTCAGGTAACAGGTCATGTCTCAACTGTCCAGGGAGAAAAACTCAACTGGGGACAATGTTTCTGTGAAGGATCAGTTTACCCAAGGAAGTGGAGCAGAGGCTGCCAGAGCACTGTAAGGAGTGTTTATTCACACTCAGGACACATGGCGGAGGCTCTGATTGCAAATGACACACAGACAAGAACAGAGGGGCCCGGCAGCCTGCATGGTATCCATGTGGGCAGAGAAGGGACAGCTCCATCTGTGTCCCAAGTTCTGGGCAGACGGGAGCATCTGCCTCCGTAAGACAGAAATACTCAATCTACAGGTCAAACAGATGGTGGCTTCTAAAGGTGAGCTGATGCCTGATAAAATGCAGATGATGGTTTTATACATCTGAACCCAAACTGGCGAAAGGCTCAAAGAGCAGGCTTGGCCCACTGCACACTTCTGCTCTGCCACCTGGGAAGATCTGAGATGGACCCTATCTTTCAAGGAGCCCCTCGATGTCTTTCTGTGTGTCATACTGGCCCAGAGGCATCTGTTAACAGGAATGAAGTTCCCGATGGGAAATACAGACTTTTGCTTCTGCCTTAAAGCGAGGCAGGATATCTGCTGCTGGTACCTTTTTGAGATCCAACACTCAAGCTCTTTTAGGGGTCTTTAGGGCATCAGCCCTTAGTCTGTGAGGGTGGAAGGTACCCCTCACAGACACACACACACACAGAACCCATGTAATCAATCACACACACACAAGCACATTCACACACATCCCCTTTTTAGTCTTGCCTCCAGCAGGGTTTCAGTCTGGTGTGGAGCAGCAAATCCACGAATAAAAGAGTTTCATCAAGGATTTCAGAAGAAGCTCTTCTGATCATGGCTGCTGACAGAAATTGGGGACCCAAGAGAAGGTGGATGGTTACTGAGTTCAAGCCTGACCACAGGGCACGGAACAAGGCAGTGACCACCACATAGCCTAGAACACAGGTAGGGTGAATGAGATGGTCCCCTAGGTGCAAGGAGGAATACTATAACCTCTATTATGTTTGCTTTTATTTCCTCCTTCCACATTTTTTTATGATTTATAATAAACATAATACATTAGTTTAGTGGTATATGTATATACTTTAAATAAATATACATGTCTGTATTGGTCATGTGCTTAAAAATGAGGAATCATAGGACATGAACACTAGCATTGGGTGCTGAGAGGCAGCTGTCAGATGAGTATCATTTCCTCCCCTCCAATTCCTCTTCTCTGAGTTCACACTTTCCATGTCCGGACTGGCCAGTTGCCCTGAGATGTTCCCGAGTAGATTCCTGTTACTAGGCTCCAACCTGGGATAAGTCTTGTTACATGGAGTGGGTCAGCAGGTACTGAGGATGGCACTTACTCTCTTTGAGGATGTGACATGTGAAAATACTCATGTACCCTAAAACACCCGTCACAGAAAAGTACTACCAAACAGGAAATAAAGATTACACAGAATAAAAGAAATCTATGAGACAGTATACACAGCCACCGGAGAAAACCATTAACTATAAGCAAAGGTCACCCTGGAACAATTCAGCCACAGGCAAGTAAGGTTAGAAATGAATGAAAAGCTTTGTTTCCTTTTTAATAAGTGGGAATAAAGTTACTGGGGCCTCTTTTAAGGGAAATTTATTTTCAATGGGTTGAGGTTTGCACAAAAACTATGGAAATTTTGAGGCAATATTTTTCTTTTTGTGAACATTTAACTACAGTGTCTGGAAGTTGGAACAATTTCTATTTCATATAAAACAATGTATTATGACCTGTAAATTCATGAACAAGTAACTCAAGACCTCATCTTACCTTTGTAGGAAACACTTTGCAGGTACTCGGTTATTTGAGAGGGAGTAAATGAGTTCAAGATCATTAAGAAATCCAGGTAGGCTTTCCCGTAGTCACTCTGGTATATGGTCTGCCTCTTTGTGCGGTCCTGATTCTTCATGTGGCTGCATAGTACGGAAGGGACTAGGGGGACACCAGGGAAGGAAAGACAGATGTTGTCACCAAACAAGGCACTTCTGCCCTTATTGGCTGAGCACGCCTTGACAGCCCTGAGTCCAACCTGATGTCTGCTTAATGGTGCTGGAACAGGAGGCATTGTGTGAGTGACTCGGGTAGGCGGAGTGACTGGGACTCAGCACTGTTACTGTGGGAGTGGGAGGAGTTGGAGATGATCACCAGAAGGTTGAGTTTGACCACTAATTTCAGAAAAGAAGTTTTCCCTGGAATCAACTCTTCTGCAGGTCAGCATGTTAGGATGATAGCATTTGCCTCCTGCTTTGTTTCCCTTTCATGCCATCTCCTGGGAAGACTGGGACTCACACATAAAGAGGCCTCCACCAGGTGCCATACGAGGAGCAGTTTGGAACAATGATGGCATCTACAGTCAGCACTCGTTGCACATTCAGACTAATGGAGGTGTGAGGTGCCGGCCACTTACATTTGATTCTGAACGCTGCTCATTTAATGTGGGTTCTAGTAGTCATGGAGTTACCAAAAAAATAAATAAATGAAAGCAATTAAGATGATGTGAGAATATGTCCACAATTTGTCCAATCTTCGTAAACCAGGAGAACACCTTAAACACTGCTTCAGTTCCAAGTTGCCTCCTTGAAATGAACCATAGGCCTGATGGAGGGACTGGGTAGGTGAGGAGACTGGACACCACATCTGAGAAGTATTTTTAGGGTCTGAAAATGCTTTTAGTGTAGGAGACTTAGAAGCCATGTACTAAGGTTTTCATAGAACAATAGATTTATACTCTGTGGGAAGAAGAAAAATTGGCTAGAAGTTGAGCAAGAAAGATTCTAACTGTTCAGAATGTTTAAACAGTTAAAATATCTAAGAATGAAGGAATTCCTTGGGAATGAGTACTCCTCTGAAGAGTCTGAGCAGGGATGATATCACCCCTTGGCAAGTATGGTTTAGCAGTGACCCACATAGGAAGTGAGAATCTAGAACAAGTCACTTCTCGGCTACCTTCTAACCCCAGATGCTGAGCATCTGTTCTGTGATTTCTATGTAAAGTACTACTTGGTCCCAACTCAATGCCAGGAATCAATCACTATCTCAAAATGACACCCAACTCTCAGCCAGCAGTGTGGAGGTGGCTGGGTCATGGAACTTTTTCCGTTGAAAGCAATAGAAATCTCAGTCACATATACACCCACCCCTTAAATATGAAGATGCTTGAAGGGTGTGACTTGTGGATAAACTTTCAGCGAATAATTGACAAGACAATTTGATTCCCACCTAATCCCTTTTCCTATAAATTTATAGAAACTGAATTCTTCCTTCATATTATAATGGAGGGGAGGGGGTGTCCCTCAATCCCAACACCTGTCCCTCCCAGGCTGAGGATGCACTCATTTCTTGGAATAAGCAGTCATTTCTCTTTGAGACTTACTCATTCCCTGAATTTGAGGGGAGGTACTATGGAGGCATAGTTTTAATTCCATGCAGGGATCGCTGTCATTCTCTGAGGCTCTTATTAAGATTAAGAGGAATCTTTAAGCAAGAGGATAACATCTATGAAGTTGCTTCATTTTTGTTTGTTTGCTTTTCTTTTTTGTTAGCAGAAGCAAAATTTAGTGATAGATGGACTCCCCTTAACAGGGAGGGGACCCAAAGTGGTTGCCCTAAAGTTGCTTGAAAAGCTATAGGTGAGCCCTAATTGGTTTGGCTCAGTGGATAGAGCATCAGCCCACAGACTAAAGGGACATGGGTTTGATTATGGTCAAGGGCATGTGCCTCAGTTGCAGGCTCAATCCCAGGCACCAGTCAGAGTGCACGAGATAGGCAACCAATCAATGTGTCTCTCTCACATCAATGTTTCTATCTATCATCCTCTCCCCCTCCTTTCCACTCTCTCTAAAAATTAATGGAAAAATGTCCTCGGGTGAGGATTAACATCAACAACAACAAAAGTGAAAGCAGATGATAAAAAAATAAAAAATTTTAAAAAGATACATGTGAAAAATAAAATAAATAAAAGCTACAGGTGCACTTACCTAGGCCCTGAGAAGCGATTGGTGGGTGTGAGTAGCATCCATATTTGACACTAAAATCCTGACACTCAGGAATTTTAGCTGGAACTTGGTAATTGTGTCGAAATTCAGTGTCTGTGGGGTGGGAAAGTAACTTTTTCTGTTCCAGAAACATCTGAGAACTTTGCTTAATTTTCTGAGCTGGGGTGAGGTTGGAAACAAAAGACAATGATTACTCCTTGTCAGTTATTTCTAAATAGCATCATATTTTCATTCCACTTAGCTTCTGGCAGTAGCTTCCAATTTATCACTCTAAACTTCACTCTTTTTATATTTACTGGTATGGTCAATTTCAATCAAGAAATAATGTTCTGCTTTATCAGGCACAGAAAGTATACGCTCAAGTGATTAGAAGCAGTTTCTAATGAATACATGTTTTGCTGGTTAGGAGTACTCTGTTCTCAAACGGCATTCCTCACTCCAGCAGGCCTGCCTTGTCCTTGGGGCAGGGTTAGGGAGCAGGGAGAGGTGCTTTAGATAGGGCTAGGGTTGCCATATAAAACAGGATGCCAGTTAAATTTGAATTTCAAATAATGTATAATTTTTAGTGTAAGATTAGGTAAGTACTCAGTATTTATCTACTTGATATCATTCAAATTTAACTGGACATCTTGTATTTTTATTTGCTGCACCTGACAGCCCTAGATGGAGCATTGTATATCATCCCCATTACCACTCAAAGCTTATTCCTTACTGTGGAGGGTTAGGTAACATCATTGTTGTTAGTGGACAATACCACTATTATTTCTTTGAAATAAACCTGCTAACAAATATTCTATAATCATTATCTACTAGAGGCCCAGTGCACGAAATTTGTGCGGTGGGGGGGGGGGGGTGAGGGAGAAGTCCCTCAGCCCAGCCTGCACCCTCTCCAATCTGGGATCCCTCTCACAATCTGGAACCACTGGCTCCTAACTGCTCACCTGCCAGCCTGCCTGATGCCCCTAACTGCTCCCCTGCTGGCCCTTAACTGCTCTTTCTGGCTGACCTGATCCCCCTAACTGCTCCCCCCTGCTGGCCTGATCCCCTTATCTGCTCTCCCCTCTTGGCCTGGTCCCCCTAACTGCATATCTGCTCTCCCTTCCTCTCTGCGTGCTTTGGACCCCTGGCGCAGGCATGCTAAGAGCTCTCTGCCATGGCCCTGCTGCCATTACATGATGGTGTCCCAGCCAATTTGCATATTCCTCTATTATTAGTATAAATAATCATTAGATATTTATTAAGCACTAATTGAATGCTAAGTTTCATAGCACTCAACCAGATTCTAGAGGAGATGGTCATAACCTTCTCACTTACATGAGTTCACCTTTAATTCTTGCTACAAAATGTTGGTTCAGAAGCATACACCCCCAACTTTATTCAGGACAAAGATGTTAAAACCATGGATGTCATAAGCAATGTCCAAAGGGTGCCAATTACTATTGAAACTAAAGTGAATTCTTGTTCCCAATTAGTTTTTCTTCTTTATGTGTCCTTTTTCCCCGATTGACACCCCCCCCCATGATTTCTGCCCCCCAGAACAAGCCACCACTGCCCCAGTGTCTGTGTCCATTGGTTATGCTAATTTGCATGCATACAAGTCCTTTGGTTGATCTCTAATCCCTCCGTCCTGCCTTCTCTCTGAGGTTTTTCAATAGGTCTTTTCAAAATACATTCAAATGTACATTGTACATCATACAATACGTGATGTTATCTACTGACACCCAGGAGCATTTTGTTATTGATTTTTTAAAAATTATCTCTGTCTAGATCAGCATGATTTTAATTTAGATGACTCAGAAAGAGAGGATGTGGGTACTCAATGACCCTCATAATGAACCTATAAGCTGCCTCAGGAGAATACAAGATTACAGAGAGAAGGAAACTCTAGAGCTCAAAATCAGAGATCCCTTAAAATATTTTCGAAAATCATCTGAGATTTTTCCTAGTAAACACCATCTATAACTTGGATTCTATAAATTACTCATAGCTTCATAGGAGAAAAACAAATTCCTGTTGAAATACTTGATGTCCCTACTCAAAAGCAAATGTGTTTAGTTCCTATATGTGTTCTGTGCCAAGGTTAGAGATAATTAAGCCATTGTTCTACCTTATGATAACCTCAAATAAGCATGATTAGAAAAAAGATACAGTACAAACACATGTGGAATGTGATGTCCTGCAAGTATAACACTTAGATCAATAATTATTACATCGAGATAATGCATCAGAAATAACAGGGATGATTTTTCCAAATTATATCTGCTGAACCTCATCCCAGACATCGAGAATTTCTAGCAGTGGGAACCAGGCACTTATATTGTGAACAATCTTCTCATATGATTAAGAATCACTGATTCAGAGCCTTGAATAAGTGCTACAGAAGCCCAGAGAGAGTGTAATGAGCTCCATTATGGAAAGGGAAGAAAGGTGAGAATTAAAAGGCAGACATAACAAAAGGAGTACTTTGATAAAGGACCAACACTGAAGCAAAAGGTACACAGTGTGTTCATGAAATGTAGTCTGTCTGCCGGGAGTGGAAGGTATGCAGGGCAGGGAAAAGTAGCTTAGGGGGAAGCAGGAGAGATAAGTTAGGAACCAGGCTCTGAAGGTTATGGAGGGGTTGTTCTATGTGGACCAGGATGGACCAACAAGAAGTAGAGCAATTGGAGATGAAGACCCAGAAAACACAATAATTGGGGCCTAGACTTAACCAGAGTTTCTTTGAAGAAAAAGATTGTTATATTCTTTATTGATCCTTAGTACTTTTCACAGTAATAGACCTCATTAAATATTTACTAAGTTAATGAGTGAACAAAAGAAAAATTAGAACATAATTGCTGTCGATTAGCAATTTATGTGAAGTACACACTAATGACTGCATATGTAATAAATGCATAAAATAATTCTCAGTTATTAGTTCTCAACTAATGCTTTCATTGCCTTTATAAAATGTCATGTTAATGATTTTCTTCAGCACTATTAAGGAGAGAAGTTCCTGATACAAAGGGGCCCAACCAACACCTGAATTCCCTACAGTGGTACTGAAGTATAGACAGATAAGACAACCTGGCCCAAAGCTAACGACCCCTCCAAGGCCAGTATCATCCCTCTCCTCAGGAGCTCAGGTCCCACTGGTTTCTTTTCCATTTGATAATGGTGACAAACACTACATCACTTAGAGCCCAAAGAGAGAGACTGGCTCCTTTAAGATTAGGTGTGGCATCTGTTGAAAGGTCCAATCCAAAAGTGAACCTACAGCAAGGACCATTCAAAACCATTAGGACCCTTGGCACATAATCTATAGCCAAGTGAGAACCAATTCTGTTGCTTTTATTTGTTATTATAAGTCATCTAAGCAGAGTTCTCCAATCCTGAATTTTTTGAGGAAAAAGTACCTTTTAGTGCTTCTCACTCATTCACCATAATTCAATTATGAGTACACTTGGTAATACATGATCCCTGAGCTTCCAAAACTTAAAGTACTGCATTAGAGAAACAGATACCCCCCCCCAAAAAATAGATAATTATAATACTATGTAATAAATGCTGCAGAAGAGGAACTATAAAAACATATGGAAAGGCCATTGATCCAAACTTGGGGGATGAGAGAAGACTCCTGGGAGAAAAATAAGCTTGCATTTAAACTTAAATGATGAATGGACATGGGCTAAAAGAAGAAAGGGAGAGTCAGTTCACAGAGAAGCAGCAGTGTGTGTGAAGTGTGAGGCTTCAGGGGGCTTGGTGAGTCTGGAGGATGGAAAGCAATCAGTCTCATAGTGTGGGGACTGGTGAGGGGAAATGCTGGAGCAGTGGGCAAGAACCAGATTTCACAGGACCCTGATGACAATGGGGAGTCACTGAAGGATGTTAAACTGGAAAGTGATGTAATTTATACTCACTATGGCCATAGGACGGACAATGAACTAGAGGAGACAAAACCAGAAATGGGAGTTGGATTAGAGGTCATTCAAGGGAGAGATATTGGTAGCCTGAATGAAGGCAGTGTCTATGGAGAGAGAGAGAGAGAGAGAGAGAGAGAAGCAAATGGAATTAAGAGATTTAGAAGAGTGTCTTGACAGGTCTTTGGCATTTATTTACACAAGAACACATGGTAATTTGCACATACTGAAAGGACAACTTTGATTGGAAACTCAATGACATTCTTTAAGAATATTGGCATTTCTGATGTTTTTCCATGACCCTTAATGTTTATCTACAATATGGAGATATTTTGATCTTATCCCCTTCCTAACTAGAGATTTATTTAGTGCAAACTTGAATCAAAGGAGTTCTGGTTTCTGGCACACCAGTTAACAGAAGGGTGTAGTGAGATTCTAGACCAGAGAAAAGGGAGGATTCAGGAAGAGTATGCACAGCAAGCAGGAAGCTCTCAGCCCCTTCCCCAATCCTGCTCTCAGAATACAACAACCAATGTTTACCTAAGTCAAGCACCAGCCAACAAGCCCCATCTCTGTATGTAGTTTCCAATCAGATGTGAGTACCTCCAATCAGATTTTGTGAACCCTGTAGCTTAATATTTTAAGTAAATACACTCTAAGAAAAAAAAGTCCAGAAAAGTGAGACTTAAGTTTTATTAGTTTCATAGTAAATCTGCCTTCACTCCCTTGTAAATGTGAACAAAAAGCCCCTAGATTTTCACTAGACCATTAAGACACAGAGAAAAATAGAGATTAAGCAAAGAACAGATAAAAGCACTAAAAAGTATATCATAAATATGCTAAAATTTATGAGAATTGCTGCATCACAAAACAAGAACAGAATATTATTTTTAGAAAGTAATCAGAGAGGAGAAGAAAGAGAGCTTGGAAATTTAAAACATAAAGTATTGGATTAAAAAGTAAAAAAACATTTTAATTAAACATGATAAAAATACAAAGAGAAGACAGTAGGAGAGAAAATGTAAGAAAATTGAAGGATCAAACCTACTCATAGGAGTCCCAGAAGAGAACAGAGAAAAGAAATGGGAGAAAAATAGGGGAAAAGTATATGGGAACAGTTTCTAAAATCAAAGGTCATAAGTATCCAGATTTAAAAAAATCTTTGTTTGTCCAACATAATAAATGAGATTCTCAGTAATGCATGCAAATGTGAAATTTTACAGTATCCAGAATAAAGAGAAGGTCTTAAAAGCTTCCAGAAAAAAAAAATATGAAAGAATCAGGAATCAAAATGACATCAGTCTTTTACATACCAGTTCTGGGAGCTAGAAGTCATTTGAGGGATTTGAGGGAAAATGATTATCATCTTAGAATTCTATACCCAGACAAACTATCAACAAATATAATGAAAGAAAAAAAAGACATTTTCATATTGGTAAGAACATACTCAAAAAGTTCCTCCTACACCCCTTTTAATAGGAAGCTACTAGAAGATGTGTCTTAGCAAAATGAGGGAAGGGAAATATGTGGACTCAGGAAAGGAGATACAGAGCAGGAAGAGGCCAAAGAAATGCCTGAATGATGAAAAAGTACCAGGACACAGTTGGGTGGCAAATTTACAGAGCAACTCTTCTAGATTAGAGGAAATGGAAGGTGTCAGTTCTCCAGTAAAATCTCAAACTGATACAATGTCTGAAACTGTATTTGGGGAAAATCTTGGTAAGTGTGTGACAAAGTATTTGAAAAAAATTAGTGACAGGCGCATAGAAAAGTAAACAAATGAAAAAAGGTTATTAATTCTGGTAGAAAAAAAGTAAAAAGAGACATAATCATAAAATAACACCTGGCTCAGTGGTAAATATTTACATATATATCATATCATAATCATAATATAACACCTAACATTTTAATTAACCAAAACTTTATAATATAATTATTTTGAGAGCATGGATGGAGGAAGAGTGAGGAAGAGTTATAGGACAGACAAATCCTCAACTGCCATATAAGAAAGTCAGTTATAATGTCTAAAATTGATGAATAAAAAAATAGCAGAATGAGCACAGTATTTTAAAATGCAGAGGGTGACATAAGAAAAAACAGTTGAAATGACTGAAAATGATTATCAATGTGTAGTAAGACTGGGCATAGACGGGTGGGTAAAGACACTGCTGCTATGCATTATGAGCTTGTAGGGAACTATTTTTAAGTATATGCATGAACTGGTTTAATAAAAGTTCTAATTTTAAAGAATAGTAAATAAGCAGTTCAGAATTGGAAATAGGATGTTTAACTTAACACCTTCAGCTTCATCTGCCTCACTTGTCTTTGTCCTTTATCCCAAGAAGACTTTCCTGGACTCTCTCCCAGGTCCAGCTAGATGTCCCATTGTTCACACCTACAGCATCCTGCACTTCTCATAACATGCAGCATTTTATACTTGATTGTATCTGTTGGTAAACTGCAGTTTTCCCATGTCTCTCCTGTGAGTTCTTTGAATAAAGAGACAACTGGGACTCCAGTGCCTAGTGCATTAGCAGTAAAGAAGAGAAATGGGCACACTTGCCTTCGGCTCTGTCCACAAAGTCTCTCCTAGTATGGGAAATAAACTGATTAGATACAGCCTTCCTGACCTTGTCCATTGAAGCAGCGGTTTTCCAAGGGAAGTACCTCTTCACTGATGTTGAGTGAACTGGAGGTAGTGTCCTTTGAAAGAAGTCCTATGAATAAAAACACAATTTTCAAGAAAATCCACATGGTTTCACCTAATGGTTCATGTGTGCATGCATGTGTATACATATTCTTTTAAGTCTTCCCAGGTTCAGCTAGATGTCCCATTGTGCGCACCATGCAGATTCTGTGCCTGTCCACAGGATGCACCAGTTTACAAAGCTATCAGTTTTCACGGGTACTTTATCACTTCTTTAACTTTTATGTTAATGAAAAATATATCATTGTAAAGTCCAAAGAATTGTGCCTCCAACTAGAAATATTCAGACAAGACCAGAGGAGAAGACGTGTGAATTTTAACTCTGGCCACAGGAAAGACAGCCGCTGTTTTGCCTTGGGAGCCCCAAGTCTTCTCTCCTATTTGTCTCCAAAGAGGTTTATGATTATAAAATTTAGAACTTCCACTACCTTTCTATCTTCCCTCTCTTTCCTCTTGCTTCCTATTTCCATGAGAAAATTGAAGCCAATGAAGAGAACTTACACAGCACACCACACCACCTGTCAGCTACCACATCTGTGTTGGCAGATGAGTTGCTGGGTCACCCAGCAGGTGACCCCACCTGGTACCCGAAAGCCTGCATTTAATCTACTCCAGCACATTACCAACAATTCTCACCTCTCTCTTGCAACTTCCATTCCTCCCTCTCTCCTGGGAGGTTATCATCAGTACCGGAGCTTGCCTTTATTTCTCCTATCTTAAAAAGAAAACTCTCTCTTCATCCTATTTCTCCTCTAGTTACTAAAATATTTCTCAGTTTGCCTTTACACTGAAATCCCTCAAAATAGTAAGGGATACTCACTGTCCCAAATTTGTCTTTCAAGTCTCTTTTAATCTTCAAGTTCCCTCTCTATCTCCTTCTTTCCCTTATAATTTCTCTATGTAAATTTCATTTTAATTTTTTCATTTTAAAATGAGGGGCTAGGGAAGAAGTAGTTAGAAATAAACGTGAAAAGGTAGACAAAAGAGTCTAAGAAGAACCATAACTGTAGATGATGAAGGATCTTTGTGATATATTCAAACTCTCAGTATTGGATTATTGATACAGTATTCAATTAAATAGATATGTAGGTATTATCTTACTTGACTGGAGTGAGAATTGTGACTCCCAATCTCTCTTGGAGTCCTAGCTTTGATAAAATCTTCTTTAGAATGTAACTTCCAAACGTACTCATCATTGTATTGTGTCCGATTGTGAAGAGAATCATTAAGTGAATATGTATATCCTAATCTTCGGATGCTTTTGTGACTACAAGAAAAGATAGTGTAAATTAGAGTAAGGGATTAAATACAAAGTCTCACAACAGCACACATCAAATAATTTTAGTTGTTACATATTTTTTTAAGGTTGGCTGGCTTAAGACTCAGTGCCAAAAAGTAAAAAGTAATTATTGGACATCAGAAAAATGGTGGTGTGAGAAAGCCCCTTGCCCTCTCCTGAAATTTCAACAAGTTAACCAACTATAATTCAACAAGTAATCCCTTCTCAACACAGACACACTACTGAGAGACCCATGCATTGAAACATCTAAAGGTGGGCACCTGGAAATAAAAAAATGGGAAGACAAGAAGGGAGGAAAACACAGACAGCCCACAGATGCAGCCCTGAAGCCTAATGGCTCAGCTGGCCAGGAGAGGGCAGAAATCTGGCAGTAGCAGGGGCTTCATTTGGCCAGAAGAAACAGAGAGCTGTAGAGGGGCAGCCCAGCAGGGCAAGCATGGAAGGGACAAACAATGTCTGAATCAGCAGATGCTTGACAGAGAATGGGGTTTTGCTGTGCAGCTCTCCACTATTGGGCCAGAGGTGGTGTTTCAGACAAAGAAATGGAACCACAGAGTCCTGCCACTGCTTGGACTCCCCAAACTCGCCTCCTGTTGCCCTTGTAGTTGGATCCGGGAGCATATTATCTGTAAACCAAGAGCTACTACAGTAGAAATACTGTTTCCCCCGTGACTGATCCCAGGAGGAGAGCTTGGGATGGGATCCCATGGAGTCAGGGGTTGCCATTAGAGTGAGGGCAAAAGAAACCCCACCCCCAAGCAGTGCAGCTGTACTGTCTGACAGAAGCCACAGAGGTTCAAGATTGGGAGATCAGAGAGGTAAAAAAATATTGTGATTTAGTGCCATTTACTAGAAGTAGTAGAAAGAACTCTTCAGAGATAAATGCGTAGGCAAAGGAGGACAGCAAATACCATGGATAACCTCAGTAACTATGATGACCAGAAAGAAAATGAACAATCTCCAGAAAGCAAGCTGGAACACATGGAAATAGGTGATATAAATGACAGAGATTTCAAGATTGCAGTTTTGAAAATACTTAACAAGATGCAAGAAAATAGACAGGCAATTCAATGCACTCAGAAAACAAATCGATGAACAAAATGAGAATTTTACCAAAAAGATTAAAACTTTAAAAAAGAACCAATCAGGTCCTAGCTGGTTTGGCTCAGTGGATAGAGCGTCGGCCTATGTACTAAAGGGTCCCAGGTTCAATTCCAGCCAAGGACACATGCCTGGGTTGTGGGCTCGACCCCCTTCCCTCCAGTAGGGGGCATGCAGGAGGCAGCCAATCAATGATTCTCTTTCATCATTGATGTTTCTATCTCTCTATCCCTCTCCTTTCCTCTCTGAAATCAATAAAAACATTTTAAAAAAAAAAGAACCAATCAGAAATCCTGGAAATGAAGCATGCAATTAAGGAGATTAAGAGTAAACTACTGAGCATAGAAAACAGAGCTAACCAGATGGAGGAAAGAACTAGTGATATTGAGGATAGTAATCTAGCAATGAGAACTGATTCCATCCAAAAAAAATCAGTACTAGAATTATAGCCATTGCAGAGGAGGAGGAGAGAGAGCATGGAACAGAGATTCTATTCAAACAAATAGTGAATGAGAACTTTCCAAACCTATGGAAAGAATTAGGTACTTGAATCTAAGAAGCAAACAGAACAGGGCCTTTTTAGGTTGAAGTAAGAAGATTGAAATTCAACCCCAAAAGGCCCTCTTCAAGACACTTTGTATTAAAGCTGTCAAAAATTAATGATAATGAAAAAAATTCTCAAAGCAGCCAGGGAAAAGAAGGAAAACCCATCAGAATTTTATATGATGTCTCAGCAGAAACTGCACAAGCCAGAAGAGCATGGAACCAAATATTCAAACATCTGAAAGAGAGAAATCACTTGCCATGAATAATATATCCAGTAAAATTATCCTTTAAATATGAAGGAGAAATAAAGATGTTCTCAGACATACAGCAGCTGAGGGATTTAATAACCAGAAAACCTCCATTGTAAGAAATACTCAAGGAAGTTATCCTCCTTAAACAAAGAACATAAGGTCACAACATTACAAGTAACAGCACCAAAAAACTTACAGCATAAGCAGGGATAATTTGTGACAACAAAAACATAAAAAAGGAGGAGGTAAAGATCTGAACTGGCAAAGGAAGATAAAGATCAGATGCACTCATAGGTAAAAAACAGATATGGTATATATGCAAGTTTATTTTTTATAAACCTAATGGTTACCATACAAAAAATCCCCAAACCACGACATCTAGCTTAAAAAAGGAGGAAATAAGTATGAAACACCACCAAACAAAAACAACAGACAGAAACCCAAAGGAAAAGAACCAATGGAGGCACAGAGCTAACAGAAAACCAAAGACAAAATAGCTATAGCAAATCCTCATACATCAATAATTACCCTAAATGTAAATGATCTGAATTCACCAATAAAGAGACATAGAGTAGCAGAGTGGATCAAAAAGCAAAACCCAACTATATTCTGCCTATAAGAGAAATATCTAAACTGCAAACACAAAGGAGATTTAAAGTAAAAGGGTGGAAAATGATTCTCCAAGCAAATAGCATCCACAGAAAAGCAGGTGTCGCCATACTTATATCTAACAAAATAGATTTCAAGATAACAAGAGACAAATATGAACACTTTATAATGATAAAGGGGATACTTATCAAGAAAAGATAACACTAGTTAATATATATGCACCAAACCAAGGAGCACTGAAATATATAAAACAGCTACTCACAGAATTAAAGGGAGAAACAGATCAAAACACAACCATAGTTGGGGACCTTAGTACTCCATTGACAGCTCTAGACAGATCAACCAAACAGAAAATCAATAAAGAAATATCAGCCTTAAATGAAACACTAGACCAAATGAACATAATTGACATTTATAGAACCTTTCCTCCAAGAACATCAGATTATACATTCTTCTCCAGTGCACATGCAACATTCTCAAGGATAGATCATAAATTGCATCATAAAACTAGCATCAAAATATGTAAGAAGATTGAAATTATACCAAGCATATTCTCTGACCACAATGCCTTGAAATTAGAAATCAACTGCATAAAGGAGGCACAAATACATGGAGATTAAACAAAATACTACTAAAAAATGACTGAGTTGAATAAGAAATAAAAGATGAGATAAAAAGATGTAGAGACAAATGAGAATGACAATAAAACATATCAAAGCATCTGTGATGCAACAAAAGCAGTAATAAGAGGGAAGTTTATATCATTACAGGCCTATCTCAAGAAACAAGAGACCCCCAAGTAAACAAACTAACATCACATCTTAAAGAACTAGAGAAAGAACAACAAAAGAAACCCAAAAACAGCAGAAGAATCTATACTAATAAAAGGGTAATATGCTAATTAGATCAGGAGACCTTCTGGGAGACCGGCTGGGGAGGGTAGTTGAGGCCATGAGGCAAGCAAGGGAGGGCATTAGGGGGCCATGAGGCCAGCAGGGAAGGGCAGTTGGGGGCCATGAGGCGGGCTAGAAAGGGCAGTTGGGGGCCATGAGGTGGGCTGGGGAGGGCAGTTGGAGGCCATCAGGCTGGCAGGGGAGGACAGTTGGGAGCGATCAGGCTGGCCGGGGGGCAGGGGGAGCAAGACAGAAGGCCGGCAGGCAGAGTGGTTAGGGGCGATTGGGCAGGCAGGCAGGTGAGCAGTTAGGAGCCAGCAGTCCCGGATTGCAAGAGGGATGTCTGACTGCCAGCAGTCGGACATCCCCCAAGGGGCCCCAGATTGGAGAGGGTGCAGGCTGGGCTGAGGGATACCTCCCCCATGCATGAATTTCATGCACCAGGCCACTAGTGGAAATAATAAAAATTAGAGGAGAACTGAATGAAATAGAGAACAAGAAGACTATACAAAAAAAAATTTAATAAAACAAAGATCTGGTTCTTTGAAAAGATTAATAAAATTTACAAGCCCCTGGCTAGACTCTCTACAGAAAAAAGGAGAAAGACCCATATAAACAAAAACAGAAATGAGAGAGGCTAAGTCACCACAGATATTACAAATAAACAAAGGATCATAACCTAGAAGAAATGGATAAGGTCCTAGAATTATATAACCTTCCCAATCTAAATCATGAAGAATTGGAAACTCTAAATAGACCTATCAGTAGTGAGGAAATTGAAACAACCATCAAAAACGTCTCAAAAAAAAAAAAGTCCTGGACCAGGTGGCTTCACCAGTGAATTCTACCAAACGTTCAAAAAGATTTAAAACCTATCCTTTTCAAATTCATCCATGAAATTGAAGAAGAGGCAATACTTAACAGATTCTATGAGGTCAACATAACCCTGAAACCAAAACCTGGCAAAGATAACACAAAGAAAGAAACTACAGACCAATAGCTCTGATAAATACGGATGCAAAATTCCTAAACAAAATACTAGCAAATTGAGTACAATAGAACATAAAAAAAAAATAACACATTGCAATCAAATGGGGTTCATTCCAGGGGAACAAGAATGATTCAACATGTACAAATCAATCAGTGTAATACACCACATTAACAAAAGTATAAAAATCATATGATCTCAACAATAGATACAGAAAAAGCATTTGATAAGATACAACATCCATTTATGATTAAAACACTCAATAAAATGTGAATTGAAGGAAAGTACCTCAACATAATAAAGGCCATTTATAATAAATCCTTAGCTATTGGCAGAAAAATGAAAGGTTTTTCTCTAAGATCAGGAACAAGACAAGATGACCACTCTCACCACTCTTATTCAACACAGTGCTGGAAATCCTACCCAGAGCAATAAGGTAAGAGAAAGAACTAAAATGCACTCAAATAAAAAAAGGAAGAAGCAAAAACTATCACTTTTTGCAGGTGACATGATTCTGTATATACAAAGCCCTAAAGATTCCACAAAAACTATTGGAAAGAATAAATAAATACAGTCAAG